CTTCTCTTGTGGAGGCTGAATAGGTTCAGGTCCCGCAGTCTCTCACTGTAGGGTCTGCCCTGTTGTCCCTGGATCATGCGGGTGGCCCTCCTCTGGACCCTCTCCATGTTGTCCACATCCCTCTTAAAATGGGGCGCACAGAACTGGACACAATACTCCAGCTGTATCCTGCTATTGAAAGGTCTCCCTTGAATAAGAGATTTCATTTTTCCAAAGGGGTTTTCCCTACAACTTAATTCTGTAATGACATTTTCTTTGGCTTAGACAAGTACTGTTCAACTTCTTGGTGGCTGGGGGCTGCACCATCAGGGGCCACAGCTCCCACTCACCTCCCTGACTGCAGACTCCTGTATTGCTGCATGGGCAGATGGCACCCCCCCACCCTCCCTGGAACGCAGGTGGGCAGCTCCCTGCCCCCTCACCAATATACTGTGTTCAGATGGAAGGGTGCTTCCCCCCACTTCCTTGGCTGCAGGCTCTCCCACTTCACAACACTGCAGGCTGTGCTGAGCTGTGCCACCCACCCTACCTTTGTCCCCTGAGCCGGGGGCAGGTAGTGAAAGCCAGAGAAAGGAGGGGGAGCCAGAGTGATGAAGGAAATAGTGGCCAGAGGATCCCCCATGGCTGCAATTTAACCCCTTGTGGTGTGCCAGGTGGACATTCTTGGCTTATAACATCAGCCTTTTGCTGTAGAAGTGAATTCTGGGTCACAAATTCAGCATGGTGGTAGAATCAAGCAGGAGAGCTGGGCTCTGTTTGAAAGGCCTGATCAATCAGACACAGGTACCATAACTACCTGAAGTGCTAAAGGAAAACTCTGAATGTGTGAGAAGTTAATGATTTGTGTGAGATTATTAAAAAACTTCCTCCCTAAAGGTTATTCCTGTTTGATGCTATCTATGCTCAAGGTTCTTGGGGGGAATGACTGTTGTACATGATTAGAAATTTGATTTCCAAACAGGGGACCCCCTCCAATTCTCTAGCTTCCAAGGCAGTTCCTTGGGTGAGAACTCTGGCTATTCGTGGAGATGTTGGTTCCCAACATTTCTGTGATTTAATCCAATGCTACAACATTGAAAAATACTAGTATACTCCTCTCGTTGAGCCTTGTATGTAAGGAGCATGGTCAGGCCCCTCACCTTGTTCACTGGAATTAGAAGTCACACTTGGAGACATGAGCTGTGAGTTGTTAGTCATGCAGCAGGTAGTTCTTACTTGGGGTTGTCTCATCTGCCTACAGTAGCTGAAGTTTATTTTTTTTTAAATATTTGTTACAGTAAGAAACTAAATATGCTGGCCAATAGGACATGCCAGGTGGCACACACTCTCTTTCTCCCCCCACCCCCCCCCAAAAAAAAAGAAAAGAAAAGAGAGAGAAAAAGAAAACTGTCCCTATCCTCTTGCACAGCAATCTCATGGCCAAACCAGCTGCCCTTAAGGGAACCTTATTTTTATAGGTGTTTATGTTTGATTCTCTGATGTAAAGTGGGAGAGATGTTACACGTGTCTCTCTGCTGCCCAGCCCCTTAGCTATAAACCATGGCATGAAAAGTGCTTGGTCTCAAGTGAATATATGAGAATTTGATTTTGTCTTCTAAGAAAGAAACAGGGACGTAAGGCTTGAAGGTTCACAGTTCTCACTTTTGCAATGGTGCACATTCCTTCAGGCCAGCAACTGTTTCTCATGGCTGCTGTCTGATTTCTGAGATTGAATTTCAACATCTTGTTACTGAGCCAGCAGTTTCTTCCACTGCTATTTTTTTTGTGACTGAGATTATCAAAAGCACCATAGTAAGTCACATACGAGCACAAATCCCATTTGCTTGCTATAGGAATGCAGGGCCCAAGCCAGGTAAACACTTGTGAAAATCCCACCATGTATGTTTAATAACTTCCCTACCTTTATTTGAATCCATGCTTCTCACTCTCATTCCTCTGCTTTTTAAGATTTAAAAACTGTGACCATGATTCAGTTTTATCAGCCCTGATAGGTCTAATGGGGATGGTAGAGTAAAGGCAGAGTATTCCTTCAGGCTGTGGCCGAAGATGGAAATGATAGGACCTGCTTGTAACTCCAAGGCCATTTGGAAACAACTCAAAGTTCTTCTCAGGCCAGCCTCACTCGGTTCAGTCAAAGCAGGAAAAACGTGCAGTTTTTGCCCCTTCTGTGTATTTACTGACATCTAATCTGTTATTTTAGGTCTTCTTTTCCTACACCTGCAGCACTGCAATGGACAGGAGACTAAGGAAAAAGGCAGAAAAATTTAAGGCCCACCTAACTAAGAAGTTCAAATGGGACTTTGATGCAGAGCCTGATGACTGCGCCCCAGTGGTAGTGGAACTGCCAGAAGGAACATTATTGGAATGAGCAAAATCTCTCTTACAGCAAGCATTTCCCCTTTTCCTCATCCCTCTTTCCAAACTTGCCAATTTCTGAAAAATCTGCATCTCATTCTGTGAAACACACCTCGCAGTCTTCAGCCGATTCCTCCTCTCACCATAGACATGTATCTGGGATGCCTAGAGACGATGCATATTTGCTGTCCAGGGCATACCTTCCCCCCATGGATTTCCGCATGGTTCCAGGAGCTGCTGAAACAGAATATCCATGCAGTGCAATCATCTTGGTAACATCTTGAGTATTCTAATGATGTACATTTACCTAGTTCTTCTGCAGCAACTCCTTTCATGGAGTCAACCAGGTTGTTGTATGACCACAGCAAACTCAATGTGGAAATATCTGTATTTAAGAATCTGGAGCTTGTGTTTCAGTTTGACACCTTTAGAATTAGGGGTGGCTGAACTGACCTGTGTTCACTACATCCTTCTCCTGCCTATCCCAAAGTTAGAAATCAAGGAATTATTTTCTGGTTGTCAGGGCTATAACTGTAACCATTGAGAAACAGTGTGCAGGATTATAAAGATTTTTATTTTATTTCTGCAGAAGTACGTTGTAACAAAAGAAACATGACCTGTATTAAAATGCTTCCATTCCACACTTCTAATACTAATATATCCTGTTCCTCCAGTGTAATTGGTATCTTTATCCAGGTATTGCCAACTTTATACAATGTAGAGAATCTGAGCCTGTCTAGCCTGATGTGAGAGACTCTTTACAGCTTAGTAACCAGAAATTGATTGGAAACCACCTGGTAGCCAAAGCAAAAAAGCAGTCATGGGAAGGTCAGATATTCATCACTGCGTCCTTGCAGTTTATGGCATTGTTGCAAATCTTCATGTAAAATTTCTTTGCTATTAATTGGTAACCATCTCATGTGGGAACTCTGGAGTTCATTCAGAGCAATGAAAATGCTGTAAAATAACTTGAAATCTGTTAGCTGTATCCCTGCCTTGTTGCCCTGTAATATGTACTCTGGATTGTAATATTGAGTTGATTTTTTCTCCACATGAGAATCCCTACTGTGTAGGGGTTTAGTAGTCATTCAACTTGCTTGTTTCTTGCTAGATTATTAGCCTTCTTCAGGAATTCGGTGTGTGCGTCTAACAAGATAACTTGCTTGTTAGTCTTTTTCACAGGTCAAAATAAATCTTCCTTTTTTTTAGAAAAACAGCGTTTTGTGTGTGAATTATTTCTGCCAAGGCATAAGGTAGTATGTTACTGTTCAGTGCCTGTCAGATCTGTCAATTATTTTACTCATCACCTTGGAACAAAATATCAATGATTGTGTCTCATTCAAGGACAGCTCATACTGAGGAGGTATATAAATAAGCATGGTGCAATGCAACAAAAAGCCTGTTGTCTAAAAGTGGGTATGTGATACAGTACTGGAAGATGGCATAGAGTGCACCCTCAACAAGTCTGCAGATGACACAACACTTGGTAGTAGATACATTGGAGGGTAGGGCTAGGATTCAGAATGACCAAGACCAATTGGAGGATTGGACCAAAAGGAATGTCATGAGCTTCAGCGAGGACAAGTGCAAAGTCCTGCACTTAGGACTGAACAATCCCATGCACCAGTACAGGCTGGGGGCTGACTGGCTGGGTAGCAGCATTACAGAAAAGGACCTGGGGCTTACAGCGGACAGTAAGCTGAACATGAGCCAACAGTGTGCCCTTCTTGCAAAGAAGGCTAACAACATCCTGGGCTGCATTGGTAGATGTATTGCCAGTAGGTCAAGGGAAGTGATTGTTCCCCTCTATTCAGCACTGGTGAGGCTAGGATGATCTAGTCGGGGCTAGTCCTGCTTTGAGGAGGTTGGACTAGATGACCTCCTGATGTCCCTTCCAACCCTAACTTTCTATACTTCTGTGATACTCTCAAATAATGAGGGACATAGCCGTCTTGCTCGGCAGGCCTTTTCTTTACTCTTATTTGTCTAGTGTTTTTTTTCCTGTCTAGTTTAAATGGTCAAGTAACGAAGCTTCCACAAGAGCTTTCATCAGACATTACTTTGTTTTGTTTAGACAGACCTGATAGTGTTTAACTACCAAGCAGAAGGACCAGTAGCTCTTCTGGCTATGTTGGGACCTTGCAAGGCCCCATTCCCTTTTTACCCTTAAGTGAGAGGGGGTAAGAACACTTCCCTGGCAGCTTTCTTAACTGAGGAATACTGAGCAGGGTGGTTATATCGTGTACTATGGTCTCTCCATCTTTTCAATACTTCTGTATTTATTTGCTAGGTCTGTTAGTTTTGATGTGATGTTATGCTACATGCTAGAAATAAGTTTGGGTTTTTTTAACCTTTATCCTCAGGTCAACAACTTTTCAGCCAGCAACATAGAAAGCAAAATGTCACTGCTCCCTGTCCCATGGGTGTTTGTTTCTAAGATGGATAAATTGTGCATTGGTAGCAGCCCTGCTCCCAGATCACTGCGTGCACATTATGAGAAACTAATGATGTGTAGCATATGTTGTGTTGATTGCTGAATCATTTGCAAATTAGGGTTGTGACTAACAGTATTTTGTGTGTTGAACTGTCAGTAGAATACCTGGAAAGCTGCTTTCCTCTTCGTGGAGCACCATTCTGCAGACCAAGGTACTTGACTCAATGTGGTATATTTGGTTGCCATGAGTTGCTGTCACTCACAGGGAATTGGGGCACATTCCTGAATCGGGTGGGGAGAAGGTGGGGGCTGTTACTACTGTGTAGCAAACCCTGCTGGTCTGTCAGCGTCCACTGGAAGATGTGTATGTACAATGCAGAACTTGTAAGTGTATGTCCAGGAGCAAGTAGTTCTGCACTATCTTTCACTAGTCACCACTGTTAGACTGTTTGCTGGACCAACCTCTTCTGTGTTCAGTGACTATCCCTTAACTCTGAAAAGCCCACCTACTGTAACGGTCTAAAACCATAAAGAGTTCTCTCTGCCTTCCTTCACTCCGCAAATTTAAAAATATAAATCAAGCTAATTTAGGTTCATGAAAACAGAGAATCTCTCTCTCTTTGCTGTAGAACCTGTGCACATTCCAGATGGAGGAAGGAGGAAAAAATAATTTTCCTTTCACCTGTCACTCTCAAGTCAATCTGTTTTTTTAAACAGGTAAAATTGGATAGAAGCACAAATTGCACATTTTGCTCTGTCTGAGCATGTAGCTTCCCTTATGATACCACCCCCTCTCCATCTGCCTGAAACATGAAGTCCATTTCTGTCTCTCTGTTTTCAGGTGGGCTAATGCCAGTTGCTTAATTTCAGCAGTGATGAGTAATGATCCCTCCATCTAGCCTGTCTGTCCAAGTCGTCTTATGAGGCAGCTTCCATTCTGCGTAGCATTTATTACTTGCATTACAGTAGTGCCTGAAGACCTTGAATGGCATTGGGATCCCATTATGAACATACCTACACAAAGTAACTTTCTGTTGCAAAGATCTTTTAATCTAAAAAGTGGGAGAAGGATTTAAAAAAACATTTAGAAAGTATTTTGGCTTAGAAGCTTCTCAAAGACAAAATGGCAGTAGCACCTCATTGCTATTTTTTGCCTTTGAAAATGCTGTCTTCTGTACTGTAGCCTTTACATTGTCTCTTAGATGATGGTCATGTTGCCTCTGGTTGCCATTATACATCTATCTCCATGTGCATTTTTAGTGAATTCTTCCCTTATATCAGTGCTTGCAGTAAACACTGACTGGTTCTTTCCAGCAGGTCCTTTGGAAGGGAGATTAGCACACAGCTTGAAGAAAATGGAGTGGGGAGTCCTAACACTTTTTCTGAAAGAGGAAATAAAGGTTTCCATTGCGTCCAAGCATGCCAGCTTATCTAGCTGCAAAGGTACCTACAACATGAAGTTTAACCTGTTCACCTGTTGCTTTACAATGTGTGTGAAGTGGATGGGGGCTCCTGCATGAAGTGATGTGGTAGAATTTCAAAGCTAGTTTTGTTCTCCCTTGAGAGATGCTCAGTGTACCTTCTTACCCCTCCCTCCCCCCCCCCACTTGCACACT